GAGAGAGAGAGAGAGAGAGAGAGAGAGAGAGAGAGAGAGAGAACAAAAGGGAGGACAGGCAGGTTGATGAAGTAACTCAGTGTAAAAACTCTGAGTTCAGTTCTCTGTATTGCAAAAGAGAGGGAGGGAAAGGGAAAAAAACGAATGCTCCCATATGTGCCTATATCCTTGCACACACAGAGATGTGAGCGAGTAAACCCAAATACTCTTGATCAGTAGTTGTCTCTCAGGGATGAACTAGAGCTCAAGGTACCAGAGGAACAGGAGGAAAAAAGAAACATTTTACTAAATATGCTTTTGGATCTTAGAAAAGTTGTACCACATATATGCTCATGAACATACTTAAGTCTTGGAACCTTTTGAGGTGGCTATTTGCTCAGACTTCTAAATGGAAAATTTGTGATGTGTGACTTCCCCCAGCTTAGATGATTGGGTCAGGTTGCATGTCTTTTACAATACTTAGTGTATTGATGGATCAACAAATACTTATCAAGGACCGGTCTAACCCAATCTTGGGGATAAGGGGAGCTTCTGAAAGAGGTGCCATCAACAAGTTGCCTGTCCTGAAAAGGAAAAATTTCCCAACAAAAAGAGAAGAAAAGATGGATCTAGGCAGAGGAACAAAGGCCTGATGGTGGCTGGAGCATACACAGGGCCCTGAGAAGTGCTGCCTGGTAGATAGGTCAACAGGCAAGAAGTCTGGAGACTAGCCATTAGCACCTGGAACCTGCTGAGGTATTTTAAGTAGGAAAATGACTTGCTCGGATTTATGTCTTTGGACATAAATGATGAACTGTAACCCAGGCATTGTTGCACACATTTGTAGTCCTGTACCCATCTGGAAAGAATCGTGAGTTTATGGCCATTCCGGGCTACATGACACCTTGACTGAAGAAAAAAAAAATTACAGAAAAGAAAGTTTGAGGGGCCAGTGAAATAACCCAGCGGTCTAAAGCACCTGCTTATGCAAGCTTGGGCGAGCGCAGAGCCTGGGGTTCAATCCCTGGCACCTCATGCTGCACCAGCCCCGCCCCCAGGGTGGGCTGAGCCAGTCACAAAAGAAAAGATGTTTGAAAGTAGAAACTGAGTAGCACAGCAAAGAGGCTGGTGGTCTGATATAGGCGAACGGTTACAGAGATTAGTGAAGGAAGGATCAAAAGCTTTTAGTACTCAGCAGTCTTCCATAGGTAAGCATCAGTGTGGAAAAGGAGAGGACTCAGGTGCTTTCATAGCCAGGGTTAGGAAGCTGGGCAGTCCCTGTACCTTTCACCAGTCACCTCATGATGTCAGGAGAGAGCCACTGAGAAACTGACCTTTGAATCCTTAGCAGAGCCTCCAGTGTTGTCCAGAAGCAGATGGCCTAAAGGGAGTGCAGACAGATACTAAGAGGGGTACTCAGGTCTCAAAGGTACGGAGTAAGGAAGCACGTGCTGTCCTCAGGTCTGCAGCAGTGAGCTCTGGCTCCTGGAGGTCCTGCGTCTTGATCACATTGCAAAACCCTCATCATTGGTTACTAGAGAAAAAAAAAAATCATCACTTGTCACTGGTATGAGCATGTCCTGTTCCTGTTTCTGGTCATGAATGGAACGCGTAACACTTGGGTGTATGAGGTTACAATCTGCCTTTTAAAATTTGGAGCACCTTTTTCATAAGTTATTGGTGAGAGGAAAGAAGTATGACCAATGTCTGGCAGGGAACCAAGGGTCTTGGAAATTGCCTTCAAAGTTAATTATTGTTGGACTGGGGAGATAGGTCAGTCAGTGGTCTAAGCGCCTACCTGACAAGTGCAGGGACCCAGGTTCAAGCCCTGATACCTCATGTCCTGCCAGCCCCAGAATACCAAGTATGCCATGCTGGCCCGGAAACTGGGCCTGGTGACACACACCTGTAATCCCAGTGCTGGGGAGGCTGATTCAGGAAGATCACTATGAGTCCAAGCTGCATAGAGAGATCCTGTACCAAGTAAATGAATAAATGAAAAATAAAAGAAAAAAAAAAGAAACAAAAGAAGGAAAGAAAGAAAGGTTAAGGGCCAGCCAGATAGCTCAGCATACTAAAGCACCTGCTTAGGCAGAGCACAGTGGCCAGGGTTCTATCCCTGGTATGCCATGCCAGCCCCACCGCCGAGGCACGCTGAGACGCAGTTGAGACTGGGTGTGGTGGCGTGCATCTGTAATCCCAGCTCTTGGAAGCCTGAAAACAGGAGAATCACGAATCTGATCTGTGTAGTTAGACTCTGTAGACCCTGTACTAAATATATAAAAAAAGAAAATAAAAATATATTAAAAAGCACAGCAGATATAGCTCAATGTAAAGGCTCTGGGCTCAGTCCCCACTACCATAAGCACTCTGTCGACTAATCAGTAAATAAGAGGACCAGGGAGATAGTTCAGCACGTAAGTGGCTGCCTGGCAAGCACAAGGTCCTGAGTTCTATCCTGGTATGAAGGAAGGGAGAGGGAGGCAAGGAGAGAGGGAGGGGAGGGAAGAAGGAAAGGAAGACAGTCAGTTTTGGTAGCAGGAATTGAACTGATGACTTTGAGCTTGCCAGGCAGGTGCTGTGCCTCTGAGCAGTAGCCCCAGTGCCTAGTTCTTGATAGTTCTTGAAGCCAGGTCATGAGAGTTATTGGGAGCTGATTCTGCTATTTTTCTTTTTTATGTGAATTTGAAATTTCACAATAAGAAAATAAAAATTATAACAAAAATATGGCCTTACACCAAAATTGGTTTTGTACTATGATTATAAATATATAAAAATAGAAATTAGGTGTTATTGGAATGGTAGGATGTAGTAATTTCTCTGGTGTCCTGACTCTCCATGTCTTACGAATTTTATACTTACCTTTACACAGAAAGGTTAAGAGTTATGTGATGATCATAGCCCACTCCACAATTTCACTGCCGTAGGCACCCCCTTCTTACCACGTCCCTAGGCAGTTGTCTGTATGAGTACTCACCTTGTAATGTTATGGAACCTTGGCTGTGCACTCATCGAGAATAAAACAGTTATCACATGACATATGGTTAGTTGTTGGCAAATAAATGTGTTTTGTCTGAGCTGGGTGTGGTGGCTCACACTTGTAATCCCAGTATTCAAGAGGTTGAGGCAAGAGGATTGACATGAGTTTGAGATCAACCTGGGCTACATAATGAGTTCAAGGCCAGCCTGAACTATGTTGTGAGACCCTGTCTCAAAAAAGATAAAAGGAAAATCAGAAAGAAAATAATATGTCTGCCGAGCCAGCCATAGTGGCACATGCCAATAATCCCAGCACTCAGGAGGCTAAGGCAGGAGGATTGCTGTGAGTTCAGGACCAGCCTGAATTACATACTAAATCCAAGGCCAGTCTGAACCATGCAGCATAATTCCTGTCTCAAAAAAAAAAAAAAAAAAAAAAAAAGTCTGTTGTCTGAATTGGTGAAGGTAAAGGGCACCAGTTTCTGATATGATTAAACATGGTAGTTCTGGAAAGCCCTTTGATCAAGATCTTAAGTAACAGACATAGACCCTTATTAAGACAGTGGAAGGGCTGGGCTTGATTACAGGCCTATAAATCAGCTATAGGAGAAGATGATGCTGGAATATCACAAGTTCAAGGCCAATCTGGGCCAAATGGTGAGACTTTGTAGCTTAGTAGTAGAGAACTTGCATAGGGGACCCTCTGGTTCAATCCCCCAATGGCAACAAATTGCAAAGGAAGTAAAGCAGCTGCAGAGTAGAAACTAAGGTGTAGCAGTTCCCAGAAGTGGGGTGAGAATGACAGCTGTGCATGTCTGTGGAGGTGTGTCTGTGTGTCTATACCAGGCAGCTGCTGGAAGGGACAATGAAGGAAAAGGGCAGGGCCCGCCCTTGTGTGAGCCCAAAGCTCACTGGGCCTCGGGAGACTGACCTGCTCTTGTTTCATTCCCCAGGCCTGGTGAATAACGTCGTGTTCACAAGTCTCACTGTGGAGCAGAGGCACCCTCTCCTTGTTCAGGTGCAGGACCTCATCAGGGCTGCCAATCCCACTGCAGCCTTCATTCTTGCAGAAAACGGGATTGTCACCAGGTATACTTTCCTGACTCCACTTTGCAGCACCAGTCTCATTCTAGATACAGCACTCTGCCCAGGGTCCATGGGATCTCTGCTGTACCTAAAATCTGAGCACTTGATAGAAGTCAAGTTATGAAGGGCTTTAGATGCTTTGTAGAAGTCATCAGGTAGACCCCATGTGGCAGTACTCTATATTATTTGGGGACATTTTGACATATTCACATCTTCATACACTGAAGGATGGAAGTCAGGATTGTTTCAGTGTTCCTTGTGTTAAAATGTAAGAAATGGGTTGGGTGTGATGGTGCATGCCAGTAATCCTAGCTGTCAGGAGACTGAGACAGAAACATCACTGTGAGTTCGAGACCAGCGTGGCTATATAGTGAGTTCAAAGCCAGCCTGACTACACAGTGAGACCTTGTCTCAAAAAACAAAGTGAGAAGTGGCTGGGCATAGTGATACATGCCTGTAATTCCAGCACTCAGGAAGCCAAGGCAGCAGGATCAGGACTGTCGTAGTGAGTTGGAAGCCAACCTGGACTATATAGTAAAATCAAGGACAACCTGAAATGCCTAGTAGGACTCTGTCTAAACAAAACAATGATAGAGATTTAACTCAGCAGTGCAGCACTTGCCTGGGAAGCATGAGATACTGAGTTTGATTGCTAGTACCAAAAAGAAAAAGAGAAAAGGATGTGAGAAATGGCCTGGGCTGCGGAGATGGCTCAGTGGAATAAGTGCTTACCTGGCAAGTGCAAGAGCCCGAGTTCTGCCAAAGAGAGAGAGACAGAGAGACAGACAGAGACAGAGACATGGCCAGAGATAGTGGTACATGCCTGTAATCTGTAATCCCAGCACTGAGAATTAAAAAAAAAAAAAAATAGATCTCACGATGTATTCAAGCTGGCCATGAACTTACTATGTAGTACGGGCAGACTAGAACTCAAAGTGATCCTCCTGCCTCAGCCTCCCAAGTTCTGGAATTGCAGACCTTTGCCACCACACCTGGCTATATTCAAAAATTAAAGGGCTGGTGTGAACCCCAGGGATGGAGCACTTGTCTGTCATGTGTGAACACTGGCTTCAGTCCCCACCACTAGGAAAGCAGTTAAGTCAACAAGACAAGAGAAGCACTGGATGTGATAGTGCATGTCTATAATCCCTGCCCTTGAGAGGCTGAGGGAGGAGGATTGCCACAAGTTTGAGGCCAGCCTCAGCTACATAGTGAGTTCAGGAGCAGCCTGGACTACATACAGCAAAACAAAACAAACAACATCAGACGAAGGTGTCAATGCCATTAAAAAAAAAAAAAAAAAAAAAAAAGATGAAGGAACCGTTCCAGATTAGAGGAGACAGCATTAACTTCTATTAGATCATGGCCTCCTTCACCAAGAAAAGGGAAAATTGGGAAGTGCATTAGATCAGTACTTCTCTGGTTTTATTATATATGTGAATCTCATTAGAGTCTTGTTCAAATTCTTGTCCCATTCAGTGAGTTTGGGTGTGTCCTAAAATCCTGCATTCCTAGAAGCCCCAGGTGACACTACAGTAAACACAAAAATAATTCCTTGTGTGTGATCATTATACCACAATTCTGTCACAGAATGTCCTTGTCCTTTAGAAAATTAAAATACATAGTTAATGATGCAATAATGTTATACATACGAATCATTTTCATATGGCTTAACAAAACAAAAAGTACACATATGTACTTTTATGTGCATATGGGAGTGTAGGGGAGAGAATATACAGTTTAAGAGCCAGGCAGTTGGGGCTGGGGAGATAGCTCAGTGGCATAAGAGCCTGCCTGGTAAACCTAAGGTCCTGAGTTTAATCCCCAGTACGAAAATCAATCAAGAGCCAGGCATGGTGGCACATGCCTGTAAATCCCAGCATTTGGCAGGATGAGGCAGAATTGCTCTGCGTTCAAGGCCAGCCTGAACTATACAGTGAGACCCTGTCTCCAAAAAAAAAAGTGACATTAACATGAGTCTTTTTTGTATGTTTTCAAAGGAATGAAGACATTGAACTGATTCTGTCAGAAAATAGCTTTTCCAGTCCTCAGATGCTACGATCTCGATATTTAATGTACCCAGGCTGGCAAGTATTATCATTGAAAAGTAGCTAAAAACTTTTTGTGAACCCATTTACTTATTTACCTGCAGGGGGAAAAAAGTGAGAAAATTAAGCTACAGGCTTCACACAGGTGCCCTACAGGGGCATTAGCGCACAGGATTTGGCTTCCCTGCCATGTCCTGTGGAGAGAGGGCCCAGTGCTCCTGCTCAGGCTCCGGAGTAGGGCCCTTCCCAGATGTGGAGTTTCAGGAAGACATCCTGTGGGACGCAGGCACAGTACTCTCCTGGGCTTTTTACTTCCTCTAGCAAGTGTGCTGATGGCCTGGAACAAGGGGCACCACCTTCCCTAAAAGTTGCTCCCAAGAAAGCAGCCAGGCCATCCTCCAGGGTTCCTGTTGTGTGTTATGTTGCCCAATAAGGGGCCCAGCAATGGGTCACCTCACAGCTCACGAACCTCTTCATGAGGGTGTGGAGAAGGTATGGAGTCTAGTATGTGCACACTGGGCATTGCTCTAAGCTGTACCCTCCAATGTGTTCACCCTTAGCCGCTTGGCCACGTAATATAGTATAACAGAAACAAAATAGAATTCAGTACTTGGTTACACAGCCACATTTCCAGTGTGCTGTGGTTAACAGCTACCATATTGGATTGTAGATCCAGAACATTCTGTCCTCATAGGAAGTTCTGTTGGGCTGTGCTGATAGCTCTGTCTTTTTGTCTCATTTGACCTTTATGCCAAGTCTGTGAAGTGAATTCCATTATTTTCCATGTTTTATAAATAAAGTGCCAGCAAGAAGTTAAATGTTACATCCAAGTTATAGCTGTAAAGGAGAGAACCGGATTTCAGGCTCAGGTTTTCTGGCTTTTGACCCCCGTTCATTTAACTCCTGTGTTGCACTTGTCCCTTTACAGTTCACTTCCACTGTGTTGCAGGTGTAGGGGAAGGCACTTGTGAAAGTTCGGCCAGTGCTAATCTCTTGTGTTTACCAGGATTTTTTTTTTTTTTTTTTTTTTTTTGAGACAGCTCGACTGAAGTTTGGGTGTCTTTGAATTCATTATGTAGGCCAGGCTGGCCTCAAAACTCACAAAAATCCTCCTGCTTCAGCCCCCCAAGTACTGGTATTACAGGCATGTGCTACCATGCCTGGCATTTCTCATGCTTATCTGGGCTGTGTCTGTTATCCTTACCCTTCTTTGAGGTCCTCTCTACCTCCTCTACACTACCATCAAAAAGGGGATGGAGCCTCATTATCCAGAAACTTACTATCACCCAGAAGACCTTTTTTTTTTTTTTTTTTTTTTTTAAATGTGGTATGGAGATCAACTCTCCCCAGCCTCAGAATATCTTTAATGTTGTTTGCCTAAGGAATTATTATGAAACTGGTATACTTACCTGCTGCTAGGTCTGGGCCAGTTATATGCTTGCCTAAGGTAGTCTAATCGTGAGACTCCTTCTCAAGGAAATAACTAAAAAGAAGGAATGACAGTTCCTCCACTGGGAAGCCAGGTAGAAGGGACACGAAGTTCACTGTACTACCAGATTAAGCCTGGGGTTGGTGGTGCACACCTATAATGCCAGCACTCAGAGACTGAGGCAGGAGTTCAAGGTCAGCCACCTACATGGTGAGTTTAAAGCCAGCCTGAACTACACAGCAAGACCCTGCCTCAAGAAACAAAAAGAGTATGCTACCACATTCTGTTTTTCCATATGTTTGAAATTTTTCCATAATAGGAAGTTAAGGTTTTTTAATATTCTAAACATGACTGTTTTTTTTTTTTTTTTTTTTTTTTTTTTTTTTTTTTTTGCGGAACCAGGGATTGAACTCAGGCCCTCGCACTTGCCAGGGAAGTGCTTATTCCACTGAGCCATCTCCCTGGCCCCCAACATGACTGTTCTTAATGGGTCTGAGAAAGCAGAGGAGAGCCACGCTGCCATTGGGTTCCTTGTGGAGAAAACATGCATCCAAACGCATGTTCTGCACCTGGCCAGAGTGAGGTGGAGCTGCAGGCCTTGAGCAGGAGCCACCCTTCCTGGGACAGGACTCCGAGCTGGGTGGGCTTGATGGGGAGTTGAGGTCTTTGACTTGGAAGAACCACTTGTTTGAGAAAAAGATTCTGTCCTCAGGAAGCCCTGCTCTGAGGAGCCCACAGGCTTCCCCTCGCAGGTGAAGTCAGTATACGTACTTCTACCTAAGTGTCTTATGTGCACAATGACCTACAAAGCAGTTATGCATAGGATAAATGACATTCCACAGTTGTAAGTTGTACATAATAACAGCCAAAGCCCCAAGCACTGGTACCTATATTTCTTTAAATGTTTTAAGGTATGAAGGTAAATTCAGTGCTGGCTCAGTCTTTCCACTAATGGTTCAGATCTGCGTGTGGTTTGGCCGACCCTTGGAGAAGACTCGCTTTGTGGCCAAATGTAAAGGTGAGCTTTTTCTGGGCCATGTCCTGGGCTGCAGTGAGAGTGCTCCAAGGTCGTCCCTGCTTCCTGGCATTGTTCCAGCATTCTGTGTCCCTCATTGCTTCGCATTTGTGACCAAAAGCAGGCTGAGGGATTAGAGGACACAGGAGTGCTGTTCCTGATTGTGTGTGGCCCCATAGTTTGATCTCCACAACACTGAACGTCCTCCCATCCCTGGGAATAGAGGGCCTGGGGAGCCAGGGTGGGGGTGGACACTCGGAACACGTTCCTCCCTGGTCCCTAACCCTCCTATCTGTGCCACTCTGAATTTAGGTTCTACCCTCAAGTGGGTGATATCCCTTCCTATTCCTCTTCTAGCAATTCAATCCTCCATCAAGCCCAGCCCCTTCTCTGGAAACATCTACCACATCCTGGGCAGAGTGAAGTTTTCAGGTAACTGGGTGGTGGGGTTTGGGAGCCTTGTACCACTGAGTACTCAAGCTCAGAGTGTGAACTCAGCCTCTTCAAGTACCCTTCAGACCACTAACGCCTCTTCCACTCTCACCCTGCTCCCTTGGGCTTACACTTCCAGGCTTTTCTGCTACCTCTCTGCCCATGGGTGACTTCTCAGGCCTCTCCTCACAGCTCCTCACTTTCTGTCCTGAGACTCACAGCCCTCCCTGAGCCAGGATGGGCTCCTCTAGGCTGTCAGGAGTTTCCACTTGCCTTCTAATGCCTCTGTCCAGCCTCGTATCTCTGGTGCCCTTGCTGTGTCCTCTGTCCTGGGCTGGGGATCAGGGAGACCTCAGAACTAGTAGGAATTGGTCAGCTCAGTGATGTGGAGAGAATACCCCAGGGAAAGGGACAACATTTACTATAACCCAGAGGCAAAAAAGGGCACATTTCAAGAACCAAAAAGATTTACCAAAGCTGGAACCACCAAAGTATGCCTGTGCTCCCAGTTACTCCAAGGCTGAAGCAAGAGGATACAAGTTCAAGGCAAACCTGCTCAACTTAGGGAGCCCCCCCAGTCAAAATGGAATAAAAAGGGCCAGGAAGGGCTACAACTCTAGAGTGTTCAAGACCCCAGGCTCAGTCCTAATCCTGGAGGAAAAAAAAAAACTGTCAAGAAGTTAGACAGGGCCAGTGGAGATAGCTCAGCAGACTAAGGACCTGCTTAGGCAAGTGCAGGGAGTGCACAACCCCTAGCACCGCATGCCGTGCTGGCCCCATCCCTGGGTGCTCTGAGTCGGCCACTGAGACCAGGTGTGGTGGGGCACGCCTGCAGTCTCAGCACTGGAGAGGCTGAAACCAGGAGGATCACTACTAGTCTGGAGTGCATAAAGTCTGAGATGCATAGCGAGATTCTGTACCAAATTTAAAAAAAAAAAAAAAAAAAACCACTGAAGCCCCGGGGGAACACATGTCTGTGTGTTGTTCCCTTCTTAGGTATCATCCGTCCTTTTCACTTCACTTGTCAGGTGGAGCTGCAGCCCTAAGTGTCACAGCCAGAGTCCATAGCCAGCCAGTGGGTGTCACTTCCACATAGACCTCCGCTCTCGGCCGCTTTTTCTGAGACAGGCTCTCACTACATAGCTAGTTCTGGCTTTGAACTCACAGCAATCCTCCTGCCTTGCCTGGGTTAATAGTGTCTTCTAATCATCCAGAGCAGCTGAGCCAGAAAATACTTTTGTGCCCTTCTCTTTTGCTCCATCCTAAGGGCGGCCTTACATTTGTGGTGGGCCTCAGGGACAAGCACATATTCTCTTTACAGACTCTGAAAGGACAATGGAGATCTGCCACAACACACTGGCCAATTCCCTGAGCATCGTGCCAGTTTTGGAGGGACCCACACCACCACCAGACTCAAGAAGCACCCCACAAGACAGCAGCGGGCAGCAGGAATGCTACCTTGTGTTCATTGGCTGCTCCCTGAAAGAAGACAGCCTCAAGGACTGGCTCCGGCAGTCAGCTAAACAGGTAGCTCCTAATGCCCACACAGCCCTGGCACAGGTGTGAGTAGCACACACACTGGCCAGCCCCCGGGCCTCCCACTGAGCCTGTTTCACAGGTCCGGCTAGGGCTCTTAGTCCCCTTTGAAAGTAAAAGGAAGCCCCTCAGGACAACTCTAGGCAGCCAAGGTTGTCTGCTGTGATCCAGGTTCTCAGGGCCAGGGAGATAACTCAATGGCTTAAGCACCTGCCTGGCAAGCGCAAGGTCCTGAGTTTGATCCCTGGTACCCCCCAGGAAAAAAAAAACAAAAGCAGGAAAACATACCTGATCCAAATTCTATGCAGGCTGTGAATAATAAGCTTCTTGGCACAGCCTCAGGGGTTTAACTATCCCTAGAACTCTGGGGATAGAGCTGGCAGGGCCTGGGGCTATCTACTGAGGCCTGGGCTGCCACATCTGAACATACTCTTAAATAGTGCTTGGCTGTGGGGCCCCAGCTTATCCTTCTTGTCTGTCACTGGCAAGGTTAGGGATGAAAGTCTGCAATGTGTTCCCCACTGCCTTGTAGGCCTGGTAGTGGGCAAGTGGTCTTGGGGCAGAGCCAGCTGCTGTCTCTTCCCCTCCACATACCTACCCCCTAGCCCTGCCCACATCTCCCTCAGCTCTTTCGCAACCTGTCCTCTCCTCCATCTCTGCACAGAAGCCTCAGAGGAAAGCTTTAAAGACCAGAGGAATGTTGACCCAGCAGGAGATCAGGAACATCCACGTGAGTATTCTGCCCTGGCCTCCCCTCTGGGCACTAAGCCTGCTTCTTAGACCTACAGAGCTTGGTCTTTACCTCATTTGAGATGGGTGGGAAACCACTTGGGTGACATGAACATGAGAATGAGGAGAGTCTACCTGCAGAAGGAGCAGGAAAGAGGAGAGCTACCTATTGCCTATTCAAGCAGTCACAGAACACCTCTATCCAGGATAAACCAGAGTTCGGGCCATGGTGGCACAGGCCTGTGACACCAGAGCTTTGGGAAGCTGGAGAGGAAACACTGGAAGTTTGAGCCCAGGTTCAGCAATATTTTTGTTTTGTGTTTTTTTGCTGTTTTTTTTTTTTTTTTTTTTTTTGAGATAGGTTTCACTGTGTTGCCCTTGAACTCAATATGTAGCCCAGGATGACTTCAAATGAGAGGCAGTCCTCCTGCCTTAGCCTCCCAGGTGCTAGGATTATAGGTATGTGCCACCACATCCAGCTTCAGTTTGTGCAAGTGAATGAGTAAGACTCGGTCTCTTCTGAGAGGCAGCTCTGCATATGGCAGAGTAGCCTGTCTTATTAAGGTAAGGACTCTTTATGTGGTCATAGCATTTTGTTTTGAGACAGGATCTCACTGTGTAGCTCAGGCTGGCTTTGAACTCACTGTGGAACTCAGGCCAGTATGAGACTCATGACAGTCCTCCTGCCTGAGCCTTTCGAGTTCTAAGATTACAGGCAGACACCACCACATCCAGCATATCTGTAATGAGCAGTAGAAAGTACAGTGATGAGTTAATTCTACCTGAATTCTTTTTTCCACAGGTGAAACGCCACCTGGACCCTCTCCCTGCAGGCTACTTCTATAATGGCACCCAATTTGTTAACTTCTTTGGTGATAAGACTGATTATCACCCTCATATCCTTTAAAGCAGCTTGGCCGCAATAGGTATCTGCACCCCAAGGTGCAGCAGTGGAGTGCAGGCCTCTTGGTAGAGCAGGTATCTGCTCAAGCCAGTGCAGTGGCAGGGGTGGGGACACAGGAGCCAACTACCAAGGTCCACTTTGATGTTGGCTTTTTAAAGTCATTAAAATTAGATTTATCTGCTGTGGTAAGATAGACCTGTGACCTCGGCACTCAGGAAGGGACGCAAAAGCAGGAGGGTTGCAAGTTTGAGCCCAACCTGTGCAACTTAGCAAGACCCTAAATCAAAATATTAAAAAAAAATATGAAGGACTGGAGATGTAGCTCAGTAGTAGAGTCCCCCTGGATTTGCTTTGATTTCACCCTTTATTAAACAGTTGCTAGTGTTACTCCTCAGGGTGCAGTGGAGTGCAGCTGTGGTGACATCCTGGGTTCTATCACCAGGGACATAATTTCCAAGTTGGAGACAGGCCAGTTACAAGTAATCCTATAAAAAGATGACTGGGGCCTGGGTAGATAGCTCAGTGGCACAAGGACCTGCCTGGCAACTGCCAGGTCCTGAGTTTGATTCCAAGTACGAAAAAAAAAAAAAAAAAAAAAAACAGAGATGACCAGAAGACATAAGGTAGGGAGCTGCTGATGTGCTAGTGAAGCCAAGGGCTCCATTCTTGGCCTCATAAGGGCCTGAGCCAGCACCTGTCACAGATGTGCTGTGATGCTGCCTTCTAGGCACCTCAGTGTCCCCTGCACCACCTGCCCCTGGGCTCTCACCCTCCAGGGTCTGCACTGTTCTTTAACCATTGGCCAGTCATGGACCAGTTCATGAATGACTACGTGGAAGAAGCCAACCGGGAAATTGAGAGATACAACCGTGAGCTGGACCAGCAGGAGTACCATGACCTCTTCGAGCAGAAGCCCTAGGGGAAGCTGGTCCCAAGCACCCTCCAGATGGACAGACAAATCTAAATGTCTAACTCCTGCTCTTCCCAGGTCCCCCTGGAGGGGCTCTGTCCTCCTTGCCCCCACATGCTGGCTTGAGTGCATGTTGTCCTTGTTCTCTGCAGCACTGGGGCAGAGGAGCTTACAGTCCAGGCCTCTGGCTTCTGCTAGCAGTGTTTCCCTTGGGTTACTGAAGCATAGGATAGGGTGGGGAGAAACACTGGGATTGTACTGAGGACTTAGAAGGCACGTGGGCTGCCCAAACTGCAGCTGAGCCTAGGGTGCCCCTACCCAGGTCTCAGATGGCGCCCCAAGAAAGCCCTCATCCCCAGTATTGTCTGTGGCCCCTGCTTAGGCCCTTCTATTGAAGGAGCTGGCCCTGCTGGCCCTGGGCCCATTCTGGGGGGAGTGGCACAAGACCTGCCTCAGCACAAACCATGGAGCCAGCAGCTTCGGCTGAGAGCCCAGCATGCCCTCCAGGAGGGGATTCCCCCATGGCACACAGCTGAGGGCAAGGTATGAGGCTTTCCAGATGTGCATGGCCCTCACATTGGCATGGGCAGACACCCTCTGATTGGTTCTGGAGCCCTGCAGCATTGCTTGGTGTCCCTAATTCAGGGAGGAGACTAGGCCTGCTGTCTCAGACACTGTCTCCAGCACTCTGCCTTGCCAGGGAAGGCCTGCTTCTTAGCCAGACTTCAGGAAATTCATGGCCACCAGGCATTCATTTTTTTTTTTTTCAAAATTTTATTGATCCACTAGGCATTCTTGTTGGTCCTGAATTTGTTTGGCTCCGAAGAACCAGGATTTTTAAAAAAACTCAAGTACTCAAGTTAGAATTCCTTTCAGTGATGTTTTCACTAGACCATAAAGCAGAGGGAATTTAAATTGCATCCTGTGCCCCATCTTTATAATTAGTGTGTGGGACAGAGAGTCCTAGGCACTGATACTTAGGTGATATTTATTAGGTTTTCAGCACCTCAGCTGCCTGGATTGTAAATGCTTTCTGAATTTCACTATTTTGCATGCTTAGGAAGAAGCACATAGGCGAAGCCAGCACAGTGTCCTGTAATGTGGAAGGGTTTTGAGGAAAGATCTGATGCAGAAGGCTGCCAGGATGCTGCACAGAGGCCTGGGTGCAGGAGCAAGCAAGTAGCAAGGGCTTGCTGATAGCATATGCTCACATTAGGAAAAAATTCTGTATTTGAAGCAAAATGAACAAAACTGCAAATACCTTTGAAAGAAAATTTTTGCATTAAGAAAGCACCTGAAATTCAGGCCCCTGTGCCTCAGTCCCAGCTCTGCTGACAGGGGTTCTGCTGTGGAACCCAAGTAGCACCTGACTTCTGGCTGGCCAGTGGCCAGGGCCCACAAATGGCAGCCTCTACTTCAGAATCAATAATATAGATCTTAAGTGCAATTGATTAATAAGCAATGAGTTATTGTAGTTTCCTTTAGCTATACCGAGCTCTTTTTAAAAACTCAAACTTGAGCAGCCTTAGAAAAGGGAAAGGGGTGGGGATGGGGAGACCACAGGCCATTGCATTTCTTCTAGGGGTTAATATGACGTTTTCAGTGGAAGCTCTAGAAACAGGAGCTTGAGCCATTTCCTGACTGCCCTGGCCTGGCAGTCTGGCTGTTGCACAAAGGAGTTTTTAAAGAGGGGTCGGGCCGTGCACAAGAGCAGGCCTGCCTTCCATGTGGGGCTTAACTACATGGTGACCTTAGGTCCTGTGTGACCGTTGTCCATGGTAATGCTCTCTCACCAACTTGCCCCGCTGTCCCCACTGCCCTCCTCAGAGAGGGAGAACTTCAATTACCTCAACTTGAATATGAAACTGTGATTGAAAAAAGGTAAAATAAGTATCAAAGCCAAAAAGGCAAAACAGGCTAAGGCTTCTCTAGACGCTCCTGAGCCTGTCTGGCAGCATGAGGGGCGCACTGATGAGAGGGCATCGGGGCACATGTGCCCCTGGGGGAGGGCACAGCCACAGTGCACCGCATACTATGTGAGGACTGGGGCTGGGAGTGCACAGCCTCCCGTGCTTCTCCCTGGAACCTACAGCCTCTTGGGTTGGAGCCTGGAGTTTAGTTGATATCCACTCGCTTCCTCTGGGCCCAGGAGCAAGGTCTCCAATTGTCTCCAGAGGAAAGGCCATGACACTGTGTTTTAGCTTCTGAACTTAGAAGTGGATACCAGGGACGCAGCAAAAATGTAGGAGCAGTTCCCAGGGACAGGCAAAGTCCTCCAGGGCTTACATGCTTTTGCCACCTTTCCTATTAGCAGCTTCAGTTTTACATCACCAGAGTGAGTGTGATAATGGTGACTGAAAGGCCACTGAAGTTATGCATAATTTTGTGTTGATATGGGAGATTCTTTTTTGATTGGAAAAAGGAGGCAGAAATTGGAGAAAATGATATCACCCTCATAAGAGGCCTCTAGCAAGGGGTGCAGTTGGCTCCACCAAGCCCTGGGGTACTCCAACCAGCGGCATGGACTCTAGCCCTTCAGGTTGAGATACAAAATTTCCTCCTAAATTCTGTTAGGATTTTGCAGAATTTTTGCACAGTAATAAGCTCTGGGTTGTCCTTTGGGTTCTCAAAAGGGAAAAAGTTCAACTCAAAGATTATAAACTATGAAGTATTCCAGCTGTGATGCTGAGTAGTCAAATAGGTATACCTCAAAAAGTGGGTGAGGAATGGCTTCCTCTTTGTCCCTGGTGGTCAAATACTAATGACAGAAGAGCTCACTTACGTGCCAAAATTCATTTTTATACTAGTTTTTCAGTGCTTTAATATTTGTAACTTAAATTTTAAAACATTTACAAACACTACTGTAACTTCAGTGAAACTGAATTGTGTGATTGAAGCTTTTTGCTTATTATAGTATTTATTACACTACTTAATTCAGTAAGTATATAAAGTAGCCTTCAATTTATTTTTATATTATTTTACATGTTTTTACCTGCAGTTGTGTCTGTGATTTCACCTTGGTAATTAAGATGTAACAATGCTAAGAATCAATAAACTACCACCAAACAAGCAAGGCCTGCCTCTCATGGTCGCCTGCCTGTGACTGTCAGTTGCATTTCTGGGTTGAATTGAGAAGACACATGCCTGGAAACTAGGTACCTTCCCCCAGCTACAACCCTGGCTGGGTGTCCCTTGCTGAGACTGTTGTGAGGCAGAATAAAAAATGTGCAGAGGGGGCCGGGGAGATGGCTCAGTGGAATAAGCGCTTTCCTGTCAAGTGCAAGGGCCTGAGTTCAATCCCCGGTTCTGCCAAAACAAAACAAAACAAAAAAATCAAATAATGAAATGAAATTTGGGGGCCTGCCCCTTAGCTCAGTTCTTTAAGTGGCTGCTTCAACAAAGCAGTCAGGCTCATGTTGCTGTGGTTCGATCCCCACAACACAAGCCAGCCAGTCATGCCTTGAAGGCATTCGGAGCAAAAAAAAAATGTGCAGAGCCAGGCATAGTGGTGCACAGCTGTAATCATGGTATGTGGGAGACTGAGGCAGGAGGAGCACTCCTGGTTTAAGGCCAGTTTGCAGCCAGCCAGTGAGGGCAAGATAGCTCAGGGGTCTAAATCTGCCTGCTTAGGCAGCCACAGGGGACAGCAGTTCAATCCCAGCATCACTTGCTGTACCAGCCCCACCCTCAGGGCAGGCTGAGCTGGCCAAAAAAAAAGTCAAGGCCAGTTTGGGCTTCATAGTTAAAAGCTAGCTTGAGCTACATAGCAAGACCCTGTCTCAAGAAGAAAAAAACAGGCCAGGGAGAAAGCTCAGCAGCACAAGTGCCTGTCTGACAAGCACAAGATCCTGCTGAGTTCAATCCCCAGTACCAAAAAGCGGGGAAGGGACCACCGATTCAAAAAATGTATTATTAAAAATATGTGAAAAGAGGGGCTGGAGAGATGGCTCAGTGGTCTAAAGCACCTACTTGGAACTAGCTTGGCAAAGCATCAGGGACTGCAGTTCAATCCCCCAGCACCACATGCCAGCCAGCCCC